CAATTCCATCCCAAAATTCCATCCCAAAATTCCAGCTGGAATTCCAGCACCGGGATTCCTTTGGAGTTGGAATTTCGGGAGAAAAACGGGAAAAAAATTCCATTTTTATTCCATTTTTGTCACCTGGTTCTTGTTCTGTGCCCGAATTCCAGCTCCAATTCCATCCCAAAATTCCATCCCAAAATTCCAGCTGGAATTCCAACCCTGGAGCTGATTCCAGGATTCCTGGGAGTGGGAATTTTGGGATAAAAACGGGAAAAAATTCAATTTTTACTCCATTTTTGTCACCTGATTCCTGCTCTGTGCCTGAATTCCAGCTCCAATTCCATCCCAAAATTCCATCCCAAAATTCCATCCCAAAATTCCATCCCAAAATTCCAGCTGGAATTCCAGCCCTGGAGCTGAATCCAGGATTCCTGGGAGTGGGAATTTTGGGATAAAAATCGGAATTTTGGGATAAAAATTGGAATTTTGGGATAAAAAAAATCGGAATTTTGGGATAAAAAAATCGGAATTTTGGGATAAAAAAATCAGAATTTGGGATAAAAATTGGAATTTTGGGATAAACATCGGAATTTTGGGATAAACATCGGAATTTTGGGATAAACATCGGAATTTTGGGATAAAAAAATCGGAATTTTGGGATAAAAATTGGAATTTTGGGATAAAAATTGGAATTTTCTCTTTTTTTTTCCCTTTCCAGAGAATCCCTGCAATTAAAACTCCTCCGGAAAAGCCTCGGAACCTCCCGGAACCTTCTGGAATTTCCCCTCTGGAAAAGGGAATCCGGGATCCCGAATTTCCGGAACATTCCCGGAATTTGGATCCCAAAAATTGGAAAAAAAAAAAAAAGAAAAATAAAAAAATTCCAGCGGGAATTTCCCCGGGAAGGGGCCAAAAATTGGGATTTTCCTTCTTTGTATTCCCAAATTTTCTTTCTTTTTATTCCAAATTTTCCCTCCTTTTTTCCCAAATTTTTCTCTTTTTTATTCCAAATTTTTCCCTCCTTTTTTCCCAAATTTATTCCAAATTTTTTCCTCTTTTTTTTCCCAATTTTTTCTCCTTTTTTCCCAAATTTTTCTTTTTTATTCCCAAATTTTCCTCCTTTTTTCCCAAATTTTTCTCTTTTTATTCCCAATTTTTCCCTCCTTTTTTCCCAAATTTATTCCCAATTTTTTTCTCCTTTTTTCCCAAATTTTCCTCATTTTTCCCCCCATTTTCCCTCTTTTTATTCCCAAATTTTCCCTCCTTTTTTCCCCAATTTTTCTCTTTTTATTCCCAAATTTCCCCTCCTTTTTCCCCAAATTTTTCCCCCTTTTTATTCCCAATTTTCCCTCCAAAATGCCCCCAAAATTCCCGGGAATTCCAACCCCACCCCCCCAAAAAAATTCCCAAAACTTTCCCCATTTATTTTATTTTATTTTTATTTTATTTTAATTTTTATTTTTTCCTGGGATTTTATTTCAAATCCTCCAGAAAATTCCCAAAAAAAATCGGGAGAAGGGGGAAAATCCCAAATTCCGGCCGATCCCGGTTTTTGGGAATTCTGGGATTGGGAATTTTTGGGATTTCTGGGAATTCTGGGACTGGAATTTCAGGGAATTCCCTGGATTGGGATTCCCAGAATTTCCCAGGATTGGGAATTTTGGGATTTCTGGGAATTCCAGGATTGGGATTTTTGGGATTTTTGGGATTTCTGGGATTGGGAATTTTTGGGATTCCCTGAATTCCCAGGATTGGGAATTTTGGGATTTCTGGGAATTCCAGGATTGGAATTTTTGGGATTCCTGGGATTGGGAATTTTGGGATTTCTGAGAATTCTGGGGTTGGGATTTCAGGGAATTCCCTGGATTGGGAATTTTGGGATTTCTGGGATTGGGAATTTTGGGATTCCTGGGATTTTTGGGATTGGGATTTTTTGGGATTCCCAGAATTTCCCAGGATTGGGATTTTTGGGATTCCTGGGATTGGGAATTTGGGGATTTCTGGGATTTTTTGGGATTCCTGGGACTGGAATTCCCAGGATTCCGGGGATTTCTGGGAATTCCGGCGTTCCCGGGCTGTCAGGAGGTGAAGTAGGAGCTGTGCATGGAGCAAAGGCGCTCCAGGGCATTCCCGGGCTCCGGAATTCCCGGAATTCTGGGATGGAGCTGCTCCAGGGGATTCCCAAACTCTGGAATTCCAGGAATTCCAGGATTGAGCCGCTCTAGGGCATTCCCGGGCTCCGGAATTCCGGGCTGGAGCTGCTCCCAGCCATTCCCAGGCTCCAGAATTCCGGGAATTCCAGGATAGGGGCGCTCCAGGGCATTCCCAAACTCCGGAATTCCGGGATGGAGCTGCTCCAGGGGATTCCCGGGCTCCGGAATTCCAGGATGGAGCCACTCCCAGCCATTCCCAGACTCCAGAATTCCGGGAATTCCAGGATTGAGCCGCTCCAGGGCATTCCCGGGCTCCGGAATTCCCGGAATTCTGGGATGGAGCTGCTCCAGGGGATTCCCAAACTCTGGAATTCCAGGAATTCCAGGATTGAGCCGCTCTAGGGCATTCCCGGGCTCCGGAATTCCGGGCTGGAGCTGCTCCCAGCCATTCCCAGGCTCCAGAATTCCGGGAATTCCAGGATAGGGGCGCTCCAGGGCATTCCCAAACTCCGGAATTCCAGGAATTCCAGGATGGAGCCGCTCCAGGGCATTC